TATAAAGAAAAAGGCACCTAATCATTATTTTTCTATTTTTTATCAGATATTTTATTTATTTACATTTCAGATGTCATCCCATTTCCCCTCCCTCCCTAGAACTCCCTATTATCCCCCTGCCTCCTTTTTGCTTTTATACCATTTTGACTACATGCAAGTGTTAAGGTCAGTTCTACATTGAGGGACTAGCAGTACAATACATGCATATAATCAAGGAACAAGCAAGGCAATAAACACAAATAGTCAAAGAACAAGCAAGGCAATAAACAAAATTCCGTGAACACTCCTGTAATCACTGTTTCTAAGGGCTTATCAGGATGACCATGACATTAGCCTAGAACAAAGAAGTAATTTCAGGCAGAAATCTAAATCTTAGTCTAGAACAAGGAATTAGGTTTCAGACATGAAAATGACTTTAGGCATCTAATAGTTATTGAAATATAATTTGTGGCCTCTGACATGGGTCAGTTATTATTACTGACTATGATGCTATGCTTTCTTAGGACATCATTGTAATGCATGCAACATGAGAATTATATCAGTATAAGTCAAGTCATTTAGAGTTGAGTTCTGGTGGCCAGTGCTATAGAAGATAGAAGCCTTAAGGGACAACTGCTTTGAGATTCCAAACAGCCAATTCCAGGATTAAGGACTAGTTTATGACACTATAGCTCACTGCAAAGAGTCTTCACTGATATGATCTCTAAGGGATTTTTGAGTGGTGCCAGGTCAGTGTAAACTCTCCATTTTGAATACAGTCATTCCAGTTTATGGATTTAACTGTTGTTTGTTGATTCTGCTTAAAAGCATATATATACACCCAGGCTTGGTAGTCCATCTTTGTAATTCCAGAGCTGATGAGTTTGAGACAGGAGGATTGCTGCAAGTTCTAGAGAAGTTTAGGCTACTGACCCTCTGTTGCATATAACCAGAAGAAAAAAATAATTAATAACTGAATATATGGACATATGAAGCAAAAATTCATAGTGTCATATTGATCATCTAGCACTTCAGATTAAAGCAGACTTAGTTATGCACTTATGTGAACTGACAAAAATCGACAGACTGTCTCCGATAAGTAACTATTGAGCATCTGTTGTTTATCAGGTTAGGGGAATGATGGAATCCTTGAAGCAGGAAGCCATATCTACACTCCTTGCTGCTGCCTTCCTAGCATTAATTGGCATGCCGATTAGAACTTGACAAGCATTCAGTAACACAGAATAGAATGTAGTGTTGTAGACACATTCCTGTGGAATCACAGGTTGGAGGAGATAAACTCCTACTAGAAAGGGCATAAAGAGATATCTTATAGAAAATGGATTGTCTTTGAAGTGAGACTTGTATTCCAGGTAGAACTTTAACAAATTGAGAGCAAAGAACATTGTTTTGAGTACAGACAAGGTTTGAATAGCTCAGTGATCTGAGGAACCAGGAAGCCTCTGTGCATGTGTGAAGTGGTCTTTGCAGGGGTAGTGGGGAAATGTTGAGAACATCCACATCTAGATGCAAGCAGCCCCTCACTGGGGCTAAGTGTTTCCATCCATAAAGAGCTCAAGAAATTAAGCTGACCAAATGGACAAGGGAGACAAAGAAGCCAGGTGTCTGGATCGCCTGTGGTATCTCTCCACTTGGATTATTAATGAGCAGTCAGGAGATGTGTTGTGCCTTCTGCTTCGTGAAAGTTTGGGAAAACTTCATCTCTCTTGTGTGGGAAGTGATCCATGCCTCACTCTCTGGAGAAATGACATCCCTGGAGCATAAATCCCTTCAACATTGCTGCCTGTGTTATTCATGCACATACTGATTACATGTTAAAAAACAAACAAAAGGCTCAAAATTATAATTTTCTGTTTCAAATGGCACAGTGAGATTAAAATTATGAGTTCCCATTTTACAGCTTTTGCCCTTTCAGAAAGGTTACCCATACTGTTTAAGCACTAGTTAGCCTTTAAAGAACCTTATTTTAAGACTCCCAAGAAGTTCCGTTGGCTTGGCTTGCAAAACAGTTCCTAATAAGCCAATTTTATCACAGGCAGTTAAGTTGACTAAAAGCGATAGCCTGTAACACAGAGGACTTTCCTAAATTGATAACTTAAAAATCTTTTAACCTTGTATTCTGTGCACAAAGGCACCTTTAAGTGTATCTACAGTAAGTGCTGTATTAAACACAGAAGTTTAGTTAATTACAGCCACTATTCTCACGTATCTAAGCTGAGTGTGAATACCAAGCAATTTAATAGTGTGCCCCTGGGCATTAATACCTAATGAAATTGGATTCCTTGTTTTCTCTAATGACCTCATTGCTTTTTGAAATATGGTCATGGCAGGTAAATGATCAATAGCCTTGAAATTGACACCAGTACTGGACCATAGCTGAATACCCTTGTTATTAAAGATTGTATGTGAGTTTCATCAATGTATAGCAGGAATGGTCACCTATAATGCAATAAGAATAAGAAAATATGACCCATCATCATTTGATTAGAGAGCTATGGCTTCATATCCACGGTACACCATTCTAATTAGGATATGCTGAATTTGTGAGCTGAGACTGAGGAGATGTGTACTAACAGACCCTGCTTTTCTTCATAGTACAGTGGGTCCACATGTACCCTAACTGTGTAAGTTTCTTAAGACTGCCATAACAAATGACCTTAAGGAAATTATTCTCTTGTAGTCATGTAGACTAGAACTTTAAGATCAAGATCTTGGCAAGGTCCAATTCATTGTCTCTGGAGCTTCAGGGGAACTGCCTCAGTACTTCCAGATTCTTGTGACTGTGGGTTATCCATGACTTGTGACTGTGTGACTCCTAACAGTGAAGTGGTCCTGTGGCTCCATTTCTGTCTGCCTGTGCTTTTTCTTTGTAAAAATATGATAAGGACACCATTATCCATTAGTTCAGAATCCCCTTCTACAGCTGATGCAATGCCCTCTTCTCAGGCCTGTAACTCAGTTGTTTCTACAAAGAGGGCCATAGTCACAGGTTCTGGAGATAAGACAGGCTTGAGTCTTTTAGAAGGCTGTCGTTCATTTCATTATGTCCTCATTTTTAGTGAAACCCAGTACAGCCAGTACTTAAGTGATGGCATTTTAAAAGTTACCATCATTTTCATTTGAGCTAATAATTTATACTATATTAGCAATTTCTTAATATTTTAAACCACCCTGTCATTGTCTTCCTTATACAGATCAGGAAATTGAAATTCAAAGCAGGGAAAATCTTGCCAAAGGTTACAACATAGCTATTAAAAATGTCAATTTGTGTTTTAAAATTATGCTCATATGTGTGTATATATGTACATATCTTGCTTTGGAAATCAGTGTGTCAGGTTGTACAAGATGGATTATCCCCATTATAGTTTTGACCTCTGTGTTCTTCTATGTCTGATAATCTTCCATACAATCAAAAGCATTATTTTCAGATTTAACAGTAGGGACAGGCCACCAAAGTGGTGATTTGACGAGTGAGAGCCTAAGCATGAGAGTCAAGTTAGGACCACTTCACTGAAGACTGTCTTCCAAAATCCAAGTATCATGTACAAGATACCTTAGCCTGAAATAGAGTTCTGAAATGAGTTGTAGTATACCATAAGCAAGACTTGGGAATATACACATGGAAGGGTCAGTTGGACTCTTGTCTCCTTCATTATTATTGACTGTGCTGTTACAGTATTTCTCCTTCCCCATGCCTCTGTTTTCTTGTTTGTAAATAGATGATATCAGCTCATTCACAATCTTTAAGAAACAAATGACATAACATACTTAGATAGGAGACACTTCAAAGTGTAGACTCAATATAATTTTTAATCATTGCCAGTTGTAAATATCTTACATAGAAGGCAATAACGAGATTTTAGGAGAGTTTTAGCAAGTCCCAAAGAGAACACAGGGTAAGAGTTTCAGAGTGCTCACGTTACTATGTCCATGTTAATATGATTTTCTTTTTGCAAAAGTGTTTTTCTGTCCTTTCCTTCCCCCTGGACAGTGTTTCACCACCTCTCCCTTTGCAACTCTTTCCTGCTCTACTATCTTATTTATTCCTTGGGGATGAGGTTTAAAAACTGACTTTCCACAATAACTGCGAAGGTTTTCTAAGCTAGCTTCAGATTTCCAAGGTAATGGAATCCGTAATTGAGTCTGAAGAAACAATGATATTGCCTCCACTCCATATTCATGAGCTCTGTCAAGAATACTTGAAACTATTGTCTGCTGAGATGTTTACTATTGTCTTTAAAAAGTTTGTGGTGACTTATAACCCACCAATAAAGGATTAGAAAAGTCAGGACACTGGTATCTTTGGCTCTATGTGGACATTGTCATCTGCATACCAATTCCAAGTAAAAGCGCTTTACAACTGTCTAATTATATTAGATCACTTCTCAGTCCCCTGATGTTCATGTCACAGCTTAAAGGTTTGTAATATGTCAGTATAGCAGAGAGAAAGACAACTGGGGATGCTCAGTCATTCATTGTTGCCCTTTTTCATTTATTGGTTTTCTTTGCTAATTTTAAATTTATGAACCTCATATAAAACAGCATCTTTCTTCACGAAAGTCAATGTCCGTAATGAAGATGAATTAATGTGCGTTGCTGATAGACTTGAGACATTAGGATTATCATCTATTGTTTTATAGATTTATTTATGAGTAAATGCTAGCACATGGGAGTGAAATAGATTGCTTTTATGTTAAAGCATGATTCAATGACAGAAAAATATATTTAGTTCTGGTTTTATCCCTCTCAGCCATGACTTATCTTTCCACATGCCCCTTCCAAGCAGAAAGTAAATTCATTTCTTGGCCCAGAAAGCCTTTAATTGTCAAAGTCTAAGGGAATATATTCTACTGACGTTGCTTTATATAAATAGACTTCTAGTTATGCTTATAACCACTATACTTTGATAGCAAACATGATAGCTGAGTGTCCATTTTGACCCATAGGAAACAGAATTGACTTGGCAAGGTGTTTCACACAATGTCTTTTCCAACCTCCAGGTGAGCACTAAATGCAGAGGCCTGTGGTGGGAGTGCGTCACAAACGCTTTTGATGGGATTCGTACTTGTGATGAGTACGACTCCATATATGCAGAACACCCCTGTAAGTATACTATAAACCTCTCTGTTTGCCAGGGAAACTGTGCCAAGGGATACTGAGCTTAGATATCTATTTGCCTGTTGTATGGTATTAAGGCTTTTAATTTGAAATATTGGCAATTAGAAGTGGGTATCATTTTTGAAATGTGAATTGTAACATATTGTATCATATTTCACCTTTCCCACTGATTTTGTAAATTCCTTTATGGTCACAAGGGACCTGACACAATGCCTTATTCATAGTAGGCTTATAGTAAATATTTCAAGAAATGGAGACTTATCCTTTGGTATTGTGATTTTATCATTAGAATTGATAAGCTATGTGAATAGCACTCACTGATGTGTTTCAACTACGACTTTTTAAAGTAGAAAGTGTACTACTTTTTCTTCATTTGAAGATTTGCTAAGATAGAGTAACAGAAGCAGACAGGACAATAGAGAGGGGGAAGGAAGAGACGGTGATGGAAAGGGAGAGGAAGGGATGGAGAGGGAGAGGTTAAGAGAGACAGAAATCTGGGCTCCTTAGAACACCAGCACATGGGAGGAATCATTAGCTCAATGTTGGAGACAACTCCTCTACCTCTCTCTTTTTTAAAAAAAATTATTTAATCTTTTTTCTACACTCCATATTTTATCCCCTCCCAGTCTACCCTCTAATTGCTCCACATCTCATAACTCCTCCCCACCCCCTCACTCCCACCCACACCCAGACCTCTTTACTCCCTAGGCCTCCAGTCTCTTGAAGGTTAGGTGCATCTTCTCTGACTAAACCCAGACCCAGCAGTCCTCTGCTGTATATGTGTTGAGGACCTCATATCAGCTGGTGTATGCTGCCTGGTTTGGTGGTCCAGTGTTTGAGAGATCTCAGGGGTCCAGGTTAATTGAGACTGCTGGTCCTCCTACAGTGTTACCCTCCTCACTTTCTTCCAGCTTTTCCCTAATTCAACCACAGGGGTCAGCAGCTTCTGTCCATTGATTGTGTGCAAATATCTGCATCTGACTCAGCTGCTTGTTGGATCTTTCAGAGGGCAGTCATGATAGGTCCCTTTTTGTGAGCACTCCATAGTCTCAGTAATAGTGTCAGGCCTTGGAGCCTCCTCTTGAGCTGGATGCCACTTTGGGCCTGTCACTGGACCTTCTCTCTTTTAGCTCTCAAATCTACCTAGATCTCAGCAAAGCCTTGTGCCTATGGATAAAGCAATCTTTTAAATTAACAGTCCATTGTTAATCCCCTCAACCCTTCTTTACAGCACTGAGCTATTAAGTTAGAACTTTGGACCATGCCAAAAAATACCAGTCCTGCTATTAAAGGAAAGTGCTTTCATGCTTTTCAAAGGCAGTGATGGGTGGTAGTGCCATGCCTCATCAAGATAAATTAAAGTGAGTCCTGTGAAATGTGCCTTTCCTCCCAGACATCTATTTTAGTCCAGGACAAAACACATTTAAAAAAACAGTCTTAAAAGCATCTTCATCTGCTACTTGGGAGTGTGGCATCTGAGAGAATTTTTGCCATAATTTATAAGACCTTTTAATTAAAATTTTTGCTTAGAAATTTTGAAAACTTCCCATTTTCCTCACTATATTCAGCTAACTCTATCTACACACACACACACACACACACACACACAGAGAGAGAGAGAGAGAGAGAGAGAGAGAGAGAGAGAGAGAGAGAGAGAGAGA